GCTCCCGGAGCTGGGAGCAGACCCCGTGGCTGGAGCAGGGCTCTTCAGGGGTGCTCGTGGTTTCTCCCTGCGTGTGTCTTGTCTTCCCACGGTGCCCGGTGCTCTGTCAGCTCCCCCAGGTTGGCTTGGTCCTAAATCAATCTCAGTGCTGTGGCTGGATGGGTTTCCCAAGTTGTTGTTCTCTGGTGTTTGAAGTTATTTCCTGGCCTGGCAAAGCTGAGGGCCTTGTTCTCCACTACACAGCAGGATTTGAGCATCAGGCTTTCGAAGGCCCCCATGTTCCAGCCCCATAACCTAAACATCTTTTACCTCTCCAGCACGGATTTGTCTGTTGGCACCCGCTGAACCCCTCTGGGCTCAGTCTGGGGGGAGCTCCTTGCCCAGGGGAGCTCTCATCTCACACCAGTGCTTGGTGGGGACTTGCTGCCGGGTGTCTGGGAGCCTGTGGGGGGAATGCTGCCGGATCCACGCTGTGCACCGTGCCTGCTGGAGAAGGGAGGGGGGACTCCTGCCTCCCACCCATCGCCACTGACACAGCTGAGCCAACCCCAGGCAGCGAGGCTGGGAGCACGTTCCCCTTCTCCCTGCTGCCTGGAGCAGCCGCCCCCAGCGCTGCTGTTTGCAGTCCCACCCTTTCCCATTCCCTTTGGAAACCCAACAAAATCCATCCTACGGGTGGGGATTTGGTTAGTTTTAACTTGTTTTCCTCTGTCCTCTGCTGAGGAAGGAGCTGGATTTGCTGTTAGGGCCTTGCTGAGAAGACAGCCAAAGCACAGCTATGCATGGAGTCGCTTGAAACAGCGGGGCTCCAGTCTCCATCCAGCTGGTCTCGCTGCCTGTGCCTGGCCTGCCCCATCTTCTCTTTCCACGCTGCATTCCAGGTACCTGGACTGAGAAGAGGGCTCTGCAGAGTTTCGGTTTTATGTGTTAAGTTATAGCAATAGGAGGAAGCTGGGGGGGGCGTGTGGGGTGTGCAGCTGGGGCTTGTCCAGTGCTTCAGAATAAGTTGGGTTTTCTAAAGCAAATGTATTTTGGTTGATTGAGGAAGAGAGGGGAAAAGAAAATGTAAACTTTTAACGTTTGGAATAAACAGTTTTGATAAACCTGGGGCTCCCTGTGCCTTGGAGGGGTGCTAGGGCCACCCTGTGGGTGCTGCGGTGGTCGCATCCTGAGCCAGTGCTGAGCACGGGTGTGCAGTTGTGGGACACGGCCGCGGGATGGCAGCAGGAGAAGGTGATGGGGATCCGGATCGCTGCCCTGGGAGAAGGGGCAGGGAGAGGGGATGGTCCCTGCCTGCGGGACCAGGGCAGGGATTGTCCCCCTGCGCTGGGCACTGGTGAGGCTGCACCTTGAACCTGTGTTCAGCTCTGGGGAGACACTGAGGAGCTGGAGCGGGGCCAGAGAAGGGCAATGGGGCTGGTGCAGGGCCTGGAGCACAAGTGTGATGGGGAAGGGCTGAGGGACCCAGGGGGGTTCAGTGTGGAGAAGAGAAGGCTCACAGGGTACCTGATGGCTCCCTACAAGTGCCTGAGAGGAGGATGGAGCCAGGAGGGGCTGGGCTCTGCTCCCAAGGAACAAGGGATGGGACAAGAGGAGACGGCCTCAAGCTGCACCAGGGCAGGTTTAGATGGAGCTGAGGAACAATTCCTGCCCCAGAGGGTGCTCGGGCACTGGAACAGGCTGCCCAGGGCAGGGCTGCAGTCGCCGTCCCTGCAAGGGTTCACACCCCATGGAGACGAGGCCTCAGTGCCATGGGGCAGGGGTGGCCTGGGCAGTGCTGGGGTAAGGGTTGGACTGGATGAGCTTAATCCAGCCTGGTTGATTGTGTAGTTCTGTGCTTGTCCCCACCACCCTCCCTGTTTGAGGGCCATCCCCGGTGTCTCTGGGCTTCCAGCACCACCTCTCCCACCACAAAAAGCCGGGTTTGTGTTTGGTGGCTGCAGTGCTGGCCTCCAAAGGGCTCTCTTCTTTTCCCATGTAAGGATGAAGTTGGGGTGTGGGCCCATGGGAAGTGTTTTAATGCCAAGGATGGAGCCTGGAATTTGCCGTCACTTAATCTCACGGCTAATGCTGCTCTCCAGGGACCATCACCCTCTGTTTGATGCTCTGCTACCAGAAGTGACCTGCTGGTGCTGGCTACCTGATGGGGAAGTTGCTTGTTGTCCTGGGCCTGATACCCAGCAACAAGCTGGGAATGTCTTGTTTCCAAAACCAGCACTGGTGTTTTCCTATCCCTTCCAGGGGAAAAACCCCACCCTGGGTTGCTTTGCCACCCTTTTCCCATCAATGTCACTGCAATGCAGTTGGCTTTGCAGAGTTCTGCTGCTTTTCATGTGTCTTTGAACCTCACCAACCTATTTATAGCTAAGAAACGCAGAGAGAGACTTGATCAAGGGGGATGTGGGACTCCTCCGGCACTGGGGCAACGCTGATGAGCTGCTGTGAGCCAGGAGCCCCCATCCCAGCGCTCCCACTGCTCCTCATCCCTTTGCATCCATCCCCCAGGTAAGGATGGATGGAGCTGGTGGTACCATCCTGCGTGGTCACCCCAGTGCTGGATCCTACCAGGAGCTGATGCGGGTCCCTCCTCCATCCCCTGCAGGGATCGTTCCCATTCACCCATCCGTGAGGGGCTGCTCCTGGGAAGGGGAAAACGTTCCCTTGGGAGTCGGTATTTTCAGGAAAGAAGAGGAAAAAAAGGGGCTGGGGAGAACAATAAGGTTGAAACTCTTGAGAGCTGATGAATCAGCTGTCATTGTCTTGGAGCTGGAGTGACACTTCAATGGGAAGTCGCTGGGAATTGGGGGAAGGATGAGCCCCCGCACGGGGGGGAGAGGGTGGCTGAAGGAAAACAGCTTAATTGAGGAAAGGGAAGCGTCTCATTAATGAGGTTTTGCACCAGCAGAGCGAGGTGGGGGTGTTTTGGGGCTGAGGAGGAGGGATTGGGGTCCTGTGGTGGGGTTGGGGGCGGACCGTGGTGCACAGCTGAGGTTCTCCATCACCAGACCCTTTGTCATTGCCAGGGGGGTCTTTGATCAGCGGCTCCAATCCTGCATTCCTGTTCCCCATCTGTTGCTATTGGAAGTGCCTAAAAGGCTTTTACTTTAGAGACAAAAGACGGGAATGTGGGATTTGGGGTTTTAGCATCTACAGAGGATGAGCCCTGGTGTTGGGAGGCTCTGTTGTCTCTGGAATGAAAGCGTTTTGTGTGGTGGGAGTGGGGATGCAAAGGAAATCTACCTCTGCCCTGCTCCTGTGGGATCTGCTGGGAGGGAATTGCATCTTCCAGAGGGTCTGGGGATGCTGAGTTGATAGCTGTAAAATCCCAGCCCAGTTTGGGTTGGAAGGGACCTTAAAGCTCCTCCAGCTCCAACCCCTGCCACGGGCAGGGACCCCTTCCACTGGAGCAGCTTGCTCCAAGCCCCATCCAGATTCCTGTCATTAGGCTGGGAATCTGGGCCAGTATCTTACAAAAGGCCAAAAATAGGGAAAACTTCTCAGGCCATCCCTTGGGGAGCAGGATCCTGGGGACACCAACACCCCCCCTCCGCATGCTCCCCCCGGTCCCATGTGGCAGAATTTAGGCCTAGAAATGATTCCTGGTGTTGGGTTTTCCCTTTTCCATGAGCAGTTCCGAGCCAAGCAGCGGCTCTTCAGTGCTGAGAGCCTGAACCCAGCCCCGGCTGCTGGGAGCTCCCACCAGGAAAGCCGCCTGCCTTCATTTCCATGTGCATAACAATGCAGGGACAAAGTCAGCCTAAACCTGCCGAGCAGACAAAGGAGCACGCAGCTTCCGAGTCCATCACACGTGTAGGGATGGAGCCTTGTGCTCGGGTGGATTCATTGGGAAAGGACCCTTGCTGTAAGAGCAAACGTGATGTTGGGCTGTGGAGACGGTCCCTGCGTGTAGCCTGGTACAGAACAAATACCTTAAACTCCCAATGACTGAGGAGCAGCGTTACCGGCCCCAGCACCGCTCCGGCTGCATCCGCACTAACCCCTCGTTACAAACGTCATCGGAGCCGCAGCTGGAGCTGCTGGGCCATGAGAATAGAACTGCATCGCCCCTCCAGTGCCCGTGGGGTGGTGCAAGGGCTCCTGGATCCCGGGGCTTGCAAAATAACCTCGGCTTGAGGGGCTCCGGCTGTCCTGGGGCTGGGTTTTCCCAATCCAAAGCATGAATCGAGAGGTAGCTCCTTTCCCATCACCCCCAAAACACCACCCTGCGGGGGGCCCGGCTCATTCCCAGTGCCCCAGGGTCAAAGGAGAGCTGGAAGGTGCTCGCTAGCTCTGGTTTTATTGATTTCTTGCTGTAGAAAGCAGAGTTCCTGGGCAGAAATGACACCGAAAACCCAAAATCACAAGGGCTGGAGCTGGAAATATCGGCTGAAGCACTTGGTGAGGTCCCAGCTGTGCTGGGGACCTGGCGGATCCCAAGCTCCATCACACACAGGGGGTGACCTGGCATCACTTCAACTCGGACAGCTACAGGCAGATATACAGGTATATACACAGAGGCATACAGGGTGCCCTCCAAGCTGCAGCACGGAGCGAGGTGCCCTATCCATGGGTGATGGGGGTCACCTCTCCCTGGCCCCCCCAGTGTCTCTCGGCACCTCTGTTGCTGTGCTTGCAGACATTGCTTTCCCGGCCTTGATCTGGGGTCGGTATCCCCAGGGGACACTGAGGGGGGTTACATCAATGATCTGGGGCCATCACATCAAGAGTTAGAATCACAGGAATTAGGGGTTTAAATGGAGCTCTCCAGCTGCGGTGCAGCTGGGCGCTGCTGAGGGGTTTGCCTCCGGGTGGAAGTGGAGAGCTGAAGGGAGGACTCCACATCCTTCCGACACCTTCAGCTCTCTTCTAGGGGGTTTTCCCCCAGTTCCTGCCCTGGAGCCGCTCCTGCCTTGTCTCTTCCATCCAGGGAAGTGCTGAGCGTAAACCCCCTAAACCTCTGCCTCTTGTGGGCTGTGGGTCCTCCCTCAGTGCTTGGGGGTGATGGAATGAGGGTGATGTTGTTTCCCCCCATCTTCTCCATCCTGTCCTTTCGGGCCCTGCTAAAGGGGACCCGGGCAGTGCTGTTGTCCATCCCTCAGCCAGCAGGCAGGGAAGTCCTGTTGGACTCATTCCTTTAGCACTCCTCACGTCCCCCAGCTTGCTCCCTTCATGGGATCTTTCTCAGCCTTAGCAGCTTTGGAGGCAGATGGCTGAGGAGCAGTTCCCTGTCATCCCGATGGATGCTGGGCATGGAGAACCTGGCATCAGCCAAGATGTGCCCTGCTTTATGCCCTGCCTTTATCCGTGTTCCCAGCATCACATCTGTATCTAGGGCTGCCCTGGCTGCAGTTGGAGGTCTCTAAATGATACAGTGATGACATGAACAGCACAAAGCTGTCCTCTGGGGACAGTCCCAACGTGGAGAACTCCAGTAACGGTTTTCCTATGGATGTGGAGCTCTTTGACAAGGGTCTCTGAAGTGGCATCATTTTCTCCTCCTGTCTCTGGCTGGTTTTTGGACCCAGGGGGATGGAGCGAGGCCTCATGATGTGGCAACACCCCCGGCACAGTCCCCTTCGGCCACGGGAGCGTTTCCCCTCTTGCCATGGGCTGTGATGCCATCGTGGGCCGTGCAGGAGAAGAAACTCATAGGCATTCATTCGTGGTGTCCCAGTGCTTGGGCCGTGCCTTGGACCCTTGCTGTGTGTATGGGGCTGGCACATTGTCCCTCAGTGGTGGGAGCAGCTCTGCCTGGGCTGTGCCTCCTGTTGGCCCTCTCCATCGCTCGCTGAGTCCTGACTCCCTCGTCCCTGCTTCTCCGGGATGGAAAACTCCTTTCCAGTCACTCTCCCTCCGTGGGAGCACAAAGCCAGTGGCAGGGCCGGGGCCACCGCTCTGCTACAGCTCCGTGGTGGTGACCTGGGTCACTTCTGAGCGCAGGTCATCCCCCCCGTGGCCCCGGCAGCCCCGCTGCAGCCTGCCCATGCCTAGTCATGCCGGCTTGGAGCGGGCTTCCGAAGGGGTGCAGGTGGAGACGCGCTCCCGCGTGGTGCTCCTGGCCCGGGAGAAGCTGCTGTGGTCCAGGCGGGCTCGGAAAGGCAGGCAGAACTCTCGGAAGCACCTCTTGAAGTTCTCATCCAGGAAGGCGTAAAGGACGGGGTTGAGGCTGCTGTTGGTGTAACCCAGGGCGATGCAGAAGTGCAGGCTGGCCACCACGTAGGGGTTCTTCTTGTCGATGTCCACCAGCGTCCAGACAATGACGAAGATGTGGATGGGCGTCCAGCAGATGATGAAGGCTGCCACCACCACCAGCACCATGCGCGTGATGCGCCGCAGGTTGCGGTCCTTCTCCTTGGAGCCCGAAAGGAGGCGGACGCTCTTCAGGCGGAGGATCATCAGCCCGTAGCAGATGGTGATGACCAAGATGGGGACCAGGAAGGCAAAGATGAAGACGCAGATCTTGGTCACGGTGTCCCAGTAGATGGGAGGGTCGGGAAACTGGAGCGTGCACAGCACCATTCCGTCTGTGGAGGAGAGAGCGATCAAAGGAGGAGCCAGGGCAGTGTCTGGTTTGCTTTCTGCTCAGTCACGGCTGGGCATTGCCCATGCCTGTCAGACACCTGCAGAGATACCCAGGACCTTGGTGCCAAGGGGATGCAGTGGGTGCAGTGACCCAGGGACTTGTTCCCTGCAGGGTTTCCTGGGCCATCCCCAAACTGGCTTCTCCCAGCCCCCGTGGTGGACGTGTCCCCATTGTACCTTCCACTGAAACGGGTCTGCCCAGAGCTTTCCTGGAGCCAAGGGCCTCTCTCCTAGCCCCTGGTGTCCTCACACAGGATCTCAGTGTGGGCCAGGCTGGGGACTTGGCAATAACACCGGGGGTGGGCTTAGGCACCTGACTTGCACCGCAGGAGCTGCGGAGGGGCATTGGTTCCACTGGAAATGCGGAAGGGGTAGGACAATTTCTGGGACAGTTTCCAACCTCTGCAGCTAAGATGGACAATAAAACCATGCCCGTTTTCCACGGCTTATGGTCCCACGAAGGGGTGTCCATTGCTAAGCTCGAACCTGCTACAAGACCAGGTTGCTTGGGTTGGATAGGTCACGCCTGGGATGGACAGATGGGACAAGAGGGGACCTTACCCCAGCAGCCACTTGCCTTTTGACTTGGTGACAGCCATGGCCATGATGGGCACCCCGATGAGGGAGGAGAGCACCCAGATGCAGACGTTGATGATCTTGGCCTTGGCTGGCGTGCGGAAATCCAAGGCCTTGACCGGGTGGCACACGGCGACGTAGCGGTCCACACTCATCATGGTGAGGGTGAAGATGCTGGTGAACATGTTGTAGTAGTCAATGGAGAGCACAACTTTGCAGAGCAGCTTCCCAAAGGGCCAGGTCTCCATCAGGTACTTGGCACTCTGGAAGGGCAGGGTGCTGGTGGCCAGCGCGTCCGCCAGGGCCAGGTTGAAGATGTAGATGTTGGTGGCTGTCTTCATCTTGGTGTACCTGGGGGTGGCAGAGCAGGGTGGTCAGGGCGGGATCACCGTGCCCAAGGATGTGTGTGCACACTCAGTGTGATGAGCAGCAGGCACAGCCTGGCTTTGCTGGCTGCTTTCAAGGTGCCATCACCCTTAGTGAGGTGGTGATGTGCCCTCCTGCAGCACCGATATGCTCATGGATGGTTTGGGTTGGAAGGGACCTTAAAGCTCATCCAGTTCCAACCCCTGCCAAGGGCAGGGACACCTTCCACTAGAGCAGCTTGCTCCAAGCCCCATCATTGCCTTTATACAAAGGCAATCTGAATTCATTTCAGAGAAGTCACTTCTCCAATGACATCAATTCACCCCATTTCCGTGCGGGAGTTGTGCAATGTCCTTTACCTCCCAAAATATCCTTTATCTGATTTTCCAGGCAGTAAATCCTGATTCTCTCCCTTGCTTCCCTGTCGAGTTGACTTGCAGAAATTGGATGGATTACACCCGGAAAGAAGCCATCTGGAAGCAGCCCAATTAGCCAGGCTATTGCTCCAGAGCCTTTGGAGAGGCCAGTCTGCCTTGGCCATGGCATGGAGCACACTGGTTCTGCTCCCTGTCACATCACGGTGAGAGGAGCACCCAGTCCTGAGTGCCAAAACCCTTCCTGTAGGGATGAGGCAGTTTTGGTGAGGACCAGGGCTGGTGGGCATGGGTCCGTGTCCTCAGAGCCCCCAGCCCTGTTCTAGGTGATGCTTTGAACGTCGTGACTGGTTGGAAGTGGATCCCTGCTGCTGAGGGGGGGTTTGGGGGTCCCCAAAGGGCAGTGGGTTGGGGTTGGGGCAGCTCAAACCCTTCCCTTGTGCTCCCTTCCAGCAAGTTGTTGTTGTTCAGAGCAGCCTCCACAGCCCCAAGCTCATTTAGATGCACCCTAATTAAGCAACGAAAGTGTCAGTTTGAACACAGGCATCTCCATGCACGGATAAACCTGCCTGGAGCATCCCCAGCCCGGAGGCAGAAAGGAGACAACCCCTTGGTTGCTGAATGAGAGGATGCTCGACACAGCTCATGGAAAAACCCTACCGTGTGATGGGGTGCATGGAGGAAACTGGGGTGAGGAGCTCCTATCTCGGATGGTTGCTGCTCTGCTGCCCTGGCCAGAGACCAGGAGAGCAGGTTGATGTAGGAAAGATGTTCCTAGGCTTGGTGGTACCATCCACCCCTTCCTTTTAGCCTTTCCTCCATCAGAGGATGGAGACTCTTTGGGTTACACTGATGGAAGCACCAGGGGCTGCAAAACCTATTCCTCACTGGAAGAGCAGCACTCAGGTCCCTTTTCATTTGCCCTGGCTGCAAATGGCAGCCCCTTGCCCAAGGGTGGAAATATTAGAGTTCAACTTGATTTTATTTTGAAATATGGCATTAAAAAAAGAATTGAGAATGTCTTTTCCTTGGAAAGTCCTCTCTGGTGTCATTTTCATTTCTCTTTTGTGTTATTTTCACTTCTCTTTGGTCTTATTGCCAGGTTTTGCCTCACCTAGATGAAAAGCTAGTCATTTTGGGTAGATTCACACTTCTTTGATCTCTGCTTTGTGAGTACAGTGGGGAAAACATCAGTTATACACACTGTGCTCTGCCAGGCATGTTTGGCTTCTCCAACCCCAGCCAGATGTGCCAGCAGTGGGGGGACAGGGCTGGATCCCCCTCCCCAGGCTGTGCTGGTGGGGGGAAAGCATGAATGGGGATGACTGGGGTGATGGGGATGATGGGGGTGATGGGAATGATAGGGATAACTTGGGTGATGGAGATGGTAAAGATGACTGGAGTAATAGGGATGACTGGGATGATGGGGTGATGGGGATGATGGGGTGATGGGGATAATGGGGATAACTGGAGTGATGGGGATAACTGGGGTGATGGGGATGGTAAAGATGACTGGAGTAATAGGGATGGCTGGGCTGATGGGGATGAGGGGGTGATGGGGATGAGGGGGATAACTGGGGTGATGGGGATGGTAAAGATGACTGGAGTAATAGGGATGGCTGGGCTGATGGGGATGATGGGGATAACTGGAGTGATGGGGATGATGGGGATAACTGGGGTGATGGGGATGGTAAAGATGACTGGAGTGATAGGGATGGCTGGGCTGATGGGGATGAGGGGGTGATGGGGATGACAACTGAGCCCCAGGAGTTGCGGTTTCAGGGCAGGATCCAGCCCCTTCCAGGATTAGGCTTCAGGTCAAACCCACTGCACAGGGTGGGGGGGTCCGTCCTGTTGACCCCCCAGCGCTGCAAACAAAGCTGCCTCTCCAGAGAAGAGGTTTCTCACCCGCAGCAGAGCTGATGGAGCTCCCCAGGCTGCCAAACCCATCGCAATTAAACAAGTGCCTTGATTGGGAGCTGACACACTTGAAGGAAACAATCTGAAAGGCGCTGATGGAGAGATGAGCCTGAGGGGATGGGGCCAGCTCAGGGCAGCTCAGATTCCAGCTGGGCTCCCAGGTAGGGAGCTCTTAACTCTCCAAACCTCTTGTCAAATACAGAAGTGACAGAAACCACCTGGAAAACCCCTGGGGCAGCGCTGGGTGCAGCAGTGCCGATGTGGGAAACTCAGTGCTGCATCCCCAGGCACCCAGGGCCACCCCTGGCAGCAAGGTCTGAACCCGAGCTGGTCCCGTTTCACAGCCTTACCCTGCATGGACACGGCTTTCCTGTCCTAAACCTTGCCAGCAAAGCCCTGCGGAACCACGTAAGGGTCAAAGGCACGTGTGGGGCTCTGTGCGTCTGCAGCCCCTCCTGTCCCAGGGGCATTTATTCACTCCTTGGGAAACGTGTTTCATCCCAGTATCAGTTGGTGGGCGGGAAATGGGGGCAGCTAGAAGCCCTGACGATGGGATCTGTGGATGCTCTAGAGCCAGGCTCTCTAAAGCGTGGGTACCATTAGGTTACTCAGTGAGTTCAATCAGGGAGATGTTGTTTGCACATGGAAGCTTTCTCTGTTAAAATGCCCCCCCCCCCCTCAGAGAACAGAGCCAGCTGGAGGGGGCTAAGGACTCTCATCCTTCACAGTGACAACAGACCTGGTGGATGTCTCTGCAAGAATCACCTTCATTTGTTTTTCCAGACCAGGACTGGCTTTGAAAGCTGCTTGGAGTGCATGAGAAATCCCATTTGGTGTCAGGGAGGGGCAGTGAGTGAGACCCCCATCCCATCCCATCCCATCCCATCCCGTCCCGTCCCATCCCATCCCATCCCGTCCCGTCCCGTCCCATCCCATCGCATGCCATGCCATGCCCATTGCCCACTCCCTTGGATGGTTACAGACAGACTGCTGGGCATGGGAACATTGCCCCATGGGAATGTTTGAGGCTGGTTTCCTTCTCCCCGGTGACTCACCACATCCATCTCATGCGCACGCAGTGCCAGGCTGCGCTGACCTCCTGCCAGCATCGCTCTGCTCTGAAAGTGCTGGGGGGGAATGGCTCTAAACGGGCATTTGGGGGGGGGGGGTGCCTGAATCCAGCCACAAGCACCAGGGGGATTCGGCCCTCGCTGGGGCTACAGCAAGCCCTGGGGTGATGGGAACTGGGATTAACCCCATGGATCCGGGGCCCCCTCTGGTGTGGGTGCTGTGAAGCCCATTGCCGACAGTGGTGTGATGGGGAGCACGGCTCCTGCCCCTGCTGCTGCTGGGGCCACGGAGGTTCTGTGCTCTGCAATGTTTGGCTTTATCATCATGTATTAACCACAGCCCCAGCCGGGTCAACCCTTCTCACCCAGACAGGGTCATCACTGTCCTGGACAAAGGGGCTGTTCGTACAGGCAGGAAATGTTGCACCCCAGCACAAGCGTTAGGCTGGGTACAGCAGCATCTCCCTCCTGAGAAGGGGGGCATTGAGGGGTCCTGTTGCCTGTTTTGGGGCGCAGAGACCCAGAAGACCCAGCTCCCTGCACAGGGAAAGCCTCGGCAGAGGCGCCTCTGCAAGCCGAGGTCCTGCACTGGCGCCTGGTTTAGCCACTGCAAAGCTGGATGGGGCCAAAGTGGGGTTCAGGGTCCCCCAGGACCTGCTGCTGGAGGCGGTAGTGGGTGTTGGGGGGCAGCTTGGCCGTGGTGCGAGCTGGGTTGGGCGATGCGGGCTCCGGCTCTTTGTTAGAGAAACGCCAGAGTCAGCGGCTGCAGCAGCAGGAACAGGAGCTCCCAGCGGAGCCGGGAATGGGCTGGGTGGTTAATTCATGCTGTGCGCATCCCAGGTGCCAGCGATGGAGTGGGCAGGCACCAGCGGAGCCTCTGCCTGGCTGTGGGGCTTGGGAGGCTCCCTGTGAGCGGGGCAGCTCTTGGTGGTGCCATTCGTGTGCTCCCTGCTCCCAGCGCACGGTCGCTTCTGCTGCTGGCTCAATGACAGCACACACTCGGTCCCGGTGCACCCTCGCTCCTGCTGCTGGTTCACCCCTGGGGGACGCTGGGTCCCGGCGCACCCTTGCTGCCATCGCTCGCACACTCAGTGCACGCTCGCTTCTGCTGCTGCCTCGCACACGGCGCGCACCCAGTCCCGGGACACGCTCACTTCTGCCTTGTCTCCCGCACGTGGCGCACGCTCACCCCCGTCTCACCCAAGCGGCACCGCTCACCCCCGTGCGCGCTGCCCGTGCCCCCCGGGGCTCTCACCTCACGATGCCGTACATGACCAGGACGTTGCCCAGCAGCCCCACCACGCACACCACGGAGTAGAGCGCGGTGATGACGATGGCGATGAGGATGGAGGTGGCGTTCTTGGCTTGCGCTGCCTCCGTGCCGTTGGCTCCGGGCAGGGGGCCCCAGGCGGTGCCGTTGCCCCAGGCGGTGCCGGCAGCCGTGGGCAGCTCCATGGCCCGCAGCCGAGCGCCGCGGGTTCGAGTCCCGCTCCCGGCCGCAGCCGCCGCCTCTCGCCCGGCGCGGCGGACGGGGGCTCTTTATACACCCGCCGAGTCCCCCGAGCCACGTGCCCGGCGCTGCCCCCACCCCTGCCTGCCTCTTCCTCCTCCTCCTCCCCCCTGCCTGCACCCCCTGCCTGCTCTCCCCGCTTCCTGCCGGCTCTCCCCACCCCGCTCCTTACCTGTCCCCCCCCGTCCCTGCCTGACGCCTTCCTCCCTTCTCCCTCCGTGCCAGCGACAGGTCCTTGTCTCCCTCCCTGGTCTCTATTTCCCCCATCCCTGCCTGCCTCCTCCGCCCTAATCCCTGTGTTCCCCACATCTCTGCTTTATCCCCTTCATCCCGCTCTTCCTGCCTGCCTTTTTCCCCACAGGTCCCTACCTGCACCTCTCACACACACACCCCCCCCCCCATCCTTGCCTCCCCCCCATTCCTGCCTGCGTTCCTCGCCATCCCTGCTTTATCCTCCTCATCCCACTGTTCCTGCCTGTCTTCCTCTCCCCATTCCCTGGCTGTGTACCCGGTCCCTGTCCCTCTCTTGGACCCCTGCCTGTCTTCCCCCCTCCCATTCCCTGTCCCTGTGCCCTGCAGCCCGGAGCATCCCGGGGGGCTCCGGGCTTGATGGAGTGGATTCGGGGGGCGAGGGGGGGTGCGATGGATCTCGGCGCCGTGGCTGGATCGGGATTTCTTTGTCTGGAAGAAGGGGGGAGCACAAAGAACCCCCCTCTTGTCCGCAACGCAAAGCTGGGCTCTCCCTGACCCCCATTCTCCAACCGCCTCTCCTCTGCCTCCTTCTCTCCCCCCATATACTGGGGGGGGGGTGGGGGGTGGATGGGTTGGGGGGATGTTGAGGGAGGTTGGGGAATTTGAGAGGGTTTCAAAGGATTGAGGGATTGGGGGAGGGAACTGAAGGGATGCAGTTGGTGGGGGGCTTTGGAGGGATGGGGGGAGATCGGGGGGGACGTGGGGGTTTGCTGTGGGGTGAGGGGTTTGGGGGGATGCTGAGGGGTTTGGGGGGATGCACTGTTCCTCCTGAGTGGAGGAAAAATTCTGGGGGGTATGGAGGGGGGCTGGGGGGGTAAAGAGGGATGATGGGGATGCTCCCCATCCTCGGGGACCCAACGCATGTGGGGGCCATGTTTGGGGTGTCTCCATCACCTCTTTGCTTTGGGGCTGGTTCATTCCTTGCCTTGTGTGCCGGGCTTGGCTGGGGAGGGCAGTTTGCTGCAGTCTGAGGTGCTTTGGGCTGGGGAGGGATGGAGCAAGGGACAGGGACCATGAAGCTGGGTCAAGCCTGGAGCTGGGCTTTGCAGTCTGCGCAGCTCCTGCAGTGTCAAAGCATCCAAACCGTTCATCAAGAGCCTCGTCAGAAGGCCCGAGAGGGAATTAGCAGCTTCTCATTCATCAGCTGGTTCAGATGCTAAACAGCTCCTGGGCCGCTGCCGAAGGAGGCAGCGGTGACGTGCGATGGTTTGTGCCGTTTGGCTTTGGTGGCAATGCTCCAGGAGGGCTCATGGGATGGGGACAGACAGGGATTGGGAGCACGGAGATGGCTTTGATGTGCTATGACAGCTCGACGTCCTGCGCTTTGTTCCTCATGGGATGCATCAGCCTCTGCCCGGACGGCGTTTCCATCCATCCATGCGATGGTTCCCCAAGGCCAAGCAGGGCAGAGGCACGTGTGTGACAGCCAGGACATGGGCTTTAAGCACCTTCCCAGGGTGACAGCAGCCCCCCAGGCCCGGAGCAAGGCGCTGAGTCTCTGCTGTGCACATCTCTGACGCAGTCCTGCTGCCCAGCGCTCCCAGCGGGAGGCAAACGTCAGGTCGGGAAGTGCAAAACAGCTTTTGAGTAGTTATGAGGAGGGTTCATCCCTCCGCTTGGCTCCAGGCACAGCCAGAGACCCCCCCGTGCCCCTTTAACAAAGGGTTATCCGCTGGTGTCTCATCGTCCTGGCAGGTTCCAGCAAACGCATCCGCTCGGCTCAGCTCCGGCGTTTGAGTTCCCTCATTCCAGCTGGAATGCTAAAAATACACCCGGTGGGTGCATCAGATACATGGGAAGCCTTTCAAGGGCTTTGCTGCCCATCCAGCTGTTGCTGTTCCATGGATGGAGGTGCCAAACTTGGGCAAACTGAGGCAAGGAGGGCACGTTGGACGGGAGAGCATCACCCATGCCCCAGGACCGTGCATGCAGGAGGTGAAGTGATGGCTCCTGCGAGTCCTGAGCCCCATCTCTGACACTGCTCAAGAACAAGGGAATTCTCTTTGTACCCTGAGTTTTACCCATGCCCCTTTATTGTGGGTCAAGTTCTGCTTTCCTCCTCCTCTTGGGAAGCTCTCTCTGGCATCACTGTAGCTCTTATTTTCTCCTCCACCCCCTGGATAGCAGTGGGGTGCTGATTCTCCCACTGCATCCAAACAGGAGGAAAGGAGTTAAAACAAACTGAGGTGATGAGGGTGATGCTGAGGCTGTCAAAGAGGAAACTTCATCCTTGACATGGGGTCCATCCAGGGGGATATAGAGCTGGAGCTGCTCATGGCAGTGCTGTGATGTACTCAGAGGCTGCAGACTCCACAGGGCATATCTCACCATGGGAAGACCCTCTTCCCCTCTGGAACGGATCATTATAATGGCCCCAGCATTGGCTCCATGGCTTCGGGTGCTGCTTGCTCTCTTTCCTCCCCATACTACACAAGCAGGTATTTCACTTGCACAGGGTTTTGCTTTTAAAGCCAATTCTGCTCGGACCTGGAGCTGAGCACCCGTGATCAGTCCTGCAGGGATGGGCACTGACTGAAATGTCACCGTGGGTGCTGCATCCTGGTCCCATTGCTGTCCATGACCCTTCCTAACACCCTGGATGGTCCCTGCAGGCAGGGACACATCACACGTGCAGGCACCTTTTATCTCCATCCTTTTGCCTGCTTTTCCACGTTCTCCCCAAAAGCAATGTCAATGGAGCACCACATCCCCAGATGCTCAAGAGAAGCCAAAGTAACTCCTAAAAAGTATTTTTCAGGCTTTAGGAAAAGCCTAAAAAGAGCAGGATGCATAAAAGGAGCGGGGATTTTCCTGGTGGAAGATAGGAAGTAGGAGATGGGATCTAGGATGGATATGCAGAAAACCACATGCAAAAAGAGCAGGGCTGTGTTTGCACCTATGGGTGCTGCAGGAGGGCTCGTGGGCTTCACCCTGTCCTAACCTCATGGTTGTGCTCAGAGGCTTTCTGACCGCTTGGGTTTCTCCTTGCTTTGCTCTCTGTAGGTCTGAGATGCTTTGGGGATGGCAAGAAAGAGAGAGAATGGACCAGATGCTCTGCAAGCAGCAGCCCAACCACACCGGTACCCACCAAGCTGCGGGTCCAGGCTGCTCCCCACCCCCGGGCTCCCTGGGGCCCATCTCTTCCCTTCCCTCCACTGACAGCTCCAGGTAAATCAGCCTTGAAGAGGAAAAGGGCTGATGTGTGCGGTTTGTGCTTTCCCCACGTCAACACATCCCCGTGTTTTCATACCTTGTGGGAAAGAACAAAGCCCATCCCTCAGGGGAGCTCAAATTAGATGAGGCTCTTCTCTGCCTCCCCATTATGCATGATTGAATGGCGAGAAGGGGGGATGAGGGGGCTGTTTGCAGCATCGGTTCTTTGCTGTTGTGTGCAGGGTACCTGGGAGATGGCCGGGCTGGGAGCTGGGGTGGGAAATCTCTGCTGCGCACTTTACAGCCATCCCTTCCCTGCAGGAATGATGCCCCCAGGATGTTTGCCATGTCCCCAGGGCACAGGGGAGACCGTCCCCTCACTGGGCTTAAGCTGGTGATGGTGCCCCGAGCCCCCTGCTCCCACCCAGGACTGAGCTCCTTACAGATACAGGGTGGGAGCATCAGCTGGTTCATGCTGTTGCCTTTTCATCCCTAATTATCCTATTTGAGGGGTTCCAAAACCGTTTTCCTTTGTTCCTGGCCACAACAGCAAACATCTCACCATGCCCCGTCCCTGAGGGACTCGGTCCCAAGGGAGCTTTCTTTTGTCTTGATGCTTGTTTATTTCGGTATTTTCCCCGCCGCCTCCTGGTCTTTGGCTGGCAATGGAGCACTGACTGGGAGCTGGCAGCATCCCCCTGGATTTCAGGGAGCTGTGAGCCTGGATGTGTCCCCCCTCCCTTTCCCAGCTGGCTCTCAAAGGTGGCATCACTGCTTTCCATCAGGAGCATTAACAACCCGTGAGTCATCCTGTAAATGAACCATCTTGGAGAGGGGGGAGCATCAAAGCTGGATGCTGCTGCTCCGAGCTGGAGCTGGGCTGGAAAAGGAAAGCTTTGAGCTGCTGGTAGAGGGAATTGATGTGAATACGAGCCCTGGGCTCCCCAAAGGGGCTGGGGATGGGTTTTCCCAGGCAGGGAGAAGGCTCCTTCAGGCTGGGACATGAGGACCGTGTGTCCTGGTGCCTGGGGCTGGTTGTGATGTGCTGGAGGGACAAGGTCCCCATCCATATGTGTGTGTGTACAAACACACATGTCCCCACCAAGGGGCAGAGAGGAGGTTTATGGCTGGGTTTCCTAAGGGAATAAGGTTCGTTTGTCCATCTCCCATGAGTGACAGGGGGTTTCATAGGATCCCAACCTGATTTCGGTTGGAAGGGACTTTAAACCTCCTCCAATTCCAAACTCCTGCTACGGGCAAGGACACCTTCCGCTAGAGCAGGTTGCTCCAAGCCCCATCCATTTGCCAGTGCCTGTTGCTGTACCAGCAGGACAGAGGTCAGTTAGACCCAGGCCATGCTTATGGAGCAGGGGGGGATGCTCCTGCCATGCCCCACAGTCCCCACAGCCACGGATGTCCCATCACGGGCACATCCACCATGGAGCCAGTGCCAGGAAGGGATGGACACGTGGATTCATCTCCTCCGAGGGCTCCAGGGCTGCCGGGCAGGAAGCTGGTGCCTTTGATGCTGTGAATCCAGGTCAGTGCTGACCCAGCTGCAATCCCTGCTGCTCTCTGCGCCCAGTCCTGTTGCGCAGCCCGGCTCTTCTCCCCTTTGGTGCCTTTTGCTCCAGGCACAGAGCTCAGGTCTCCCCTCTACTTGTTCATGCTCCTCCTTTGG